AATACAAACCTTCACCAATACCAATATCAAAAATTGTCTCACTGCCACCATCTTGAATTCTCTCTTTTAAGCGCCTAAGTAACAATTCATATTGATCTTCTGATGGACTAACTAAGACACTCTAGAATTCATTATAATCCATTAGTTAATGCTATAAAATTATATATCATTTAAATAAGGTATTAGGAAATATACCTTTCCTCTAATATTGGAATAATCAACATTAGAAGTAGATGCATGATCTTTTTCATGTAATTGTTTTATGTTTGGTATTATAATGGGACCACTTCCTGCCATGTTCTATTTTTATATTGTATATTTCGATAAATTGTATTTATCAATATAGTATAATCATTCATATAAAAATTTTAACTATTTATTGACACATTAATATAATAAACATCTTCCAATATTTGAATCCAAATCTTCTTCTGTAGATTTTTGGTATTAGTACATGCATACTAACTATTCTGATCTTACATCAATTTACATTAAATGATTAGATGCAGAATTTGTGTAAGTATTTGCCACATATCATTTACTATAAAGCTGGAATAATGTAAAAGAAAACATTTATACATTAAATTTTGTATATGAAATTAGTATATTTCAAATTCGTAAATGTAAACAAAATTATCAAGTACTTTAATCTATTTCTGAAACTCAGTGCACATATATACAAAATATATTCATAACAATGAAATATTTTGAAAATAAACATCTGCATTAAGCAGCAAAATTTAAATTAGATCCAAAAATAAACTCTTGATGTTTTTGACATAAAAATATATATTCCTTAACTAGTGAAAAATTTTATAATCATTTGTTTAAATGAATAAGAATTTGCTGTTTATCTTGAAAGAAATATGTTGCTACATACTGCAAACTAACTCAACACACATACAATTCGAATGTGAAAGTAAACTAACATATGAAAGCTTATAGTCGTTTACATAAGAATAATCATATTCTTGTACCTGTTACAATATGCTTGTATTCTGCACTATTTTTTTTTGCGTAATCACAGTAAAATTTACGTGACTGAAAACACTGATGTGCTTACGAAAAATCTGTCAACGATTGCGCGATCTCATTCCGTACAAGATGATGATCTAAAGCAATTGTTGTGTGTGTGTATTATGCGGATTGTGCACCATCGACAATATTTATCGATAGTTGAAGCAAACGATATTCTCGATGTTCCTTCCGTAATCGATCTTTTCAGTTATGCAACTTTTAATTTGTAAAATTGAAGTAGCTTTTTAAATTACATGTATGTAAACGCCATAAAATGTGTACGAGTTAAAATATTATAAAAATTTGTGTTTTTAATAAAGTATTTCAGTTAATAATGAAATACTGTTACATAACATTATGAAATGTTATTCATATTAATATATTAAAAAATGTACATTTTCTAATAAAATGTGATTATGTACACTGGAATATTAAAAATTTAGTAATATTACTAGTAATTTTGTTAATCGTGCATCATTATACTTCTTTAAAGTATTCAAAGTTAAATTGGTATTAATTGTTAATATAAACATAAATGTAAAAGTATCAATGTTTTAATTATGACGAGTTGATATTTTTAAATAAAAACAATTATATAAAGTGTAGCAAATGATAATTTTATATTTACAATATATTTAACTTTTTACTTCAATTAATGTAAATAATAAAATTGTAATGTAATTTAATAAATCCAATTATACTATGAATAAACTTATTCAATTTTACATACTACTTGTGTTGCAAGCATGGAATAGGACAACATAATGGAGTATATGTATTTCAACATGCTGAAGCAAATGTGTTTTTACATATTTCTTAATGTATTTAATAGATGAAGGGATTAATTACTCTTGTATTTATGAAATTAACTTGTTCAAATATGTGCCATCTGTAGGACTGAATTCGAAAAAAATTATAAATAGAATTTCCGCCTACAAACACTTCCGGCTGATACTATGATACGTATATGTCATCTCCATATTTTTACCCTTCACGGGTAAATATTCACAAAACAGCTGTTCGTTAGAGATGTTTACCATTACTTCGGAATGTGTTAAAAGTTTGGCTTCTGTCAACTTCTAATTGTAAGATAATAAGCGATAGTAATGTAGCGTCTAAAATGATTATCATCGTGTAATTATACTCATTAGTAACACGTAACCTTGATTACCTGTAGAATTTCTAGCAATTATCATGGCTCAATGTAAGTTAACCCCTCGTGAGTTTATAAGTAATGCTTTTTCACCACAAATTGCTGCGGTGTGTTCAGCCGCGGCTGATACTGTGTGTCAGAAAAATAATTTATCATTCGTTGAACTTCTGCAACCGTTTTGTAAGTTAAATACCGAAGGTAAGGGTTTCATAATACTTTTTATATTTTAATATCAAAGATTCATTACTAATTTACATTATAAGAATAGATAGAAAATAAAAATAGTTGTAAAAAGACTAAATATTTTGTACAATAATAAAAAACAAAAGAAATCTGTTTTGTTACTGCTATTTTATTGGAGTAGATATAAGTTTTGTTGCGTTTTGATAATATTTGAAACTAAGATAAAAGCAATTTTTATTAAAAACTAATTGTGAAATATTAATTGATTTATGTTAATATATTTTTCATTTTCGTAGGACATTTTAAAGATCCACAAGGAAATACTGTAAGTGTTAGAAATCTTCGTCTTTTTATACAAGATGTTAATGCACAGCCTCCAGAACCAAGCATTGCTAGAAAAATGTTAAATGAAGCAGTTAATTCAGCCATGTGTGAACACACAACTTCTGTTAGAATTGGCACAACAGAACTTGATATACCAGTGTCAGTTCCTTGGTTTGAAGCATGGAGAGAAATGTTCTTGAGCGTTCAATTCCCATCAGACCATGAATTTACAAAACATTTTCTTGCTTGTATGATAGTAGTTTCCACAGCAGAGGACAATCCTTTGGAAAAAATACAAAATATGGGTGCACAATTACATCAAAATATTCCTGGAAAATTGCCAAAATGGTTTAATAACAATACGCTTAGATATTATATCTTAGTACATGATACTTTACAGGATGATAGAAACAAGTATTTATTTTCATTTTCTTTATTTTTTGTATAATAAATTGTGTTTTTAAAAATTAATTGTTTACAATTTTTATAGGGCTGAAATAGTTTTTACAGAAATGAAAAATATTTATGGTGCTAATAATTGTTTTTTATTACAAATGAATTCAAGACCACCAGGCCAATTTGATGACAATATTCATTTACCAGATCCTTGGAGTCAATTTTTAGTAAAACATTCAGAAGTCTCAGGAGGTAGTGAACAGAATAGTTCTCCTCGTACACCTGCAGATACCAGTGGAGTTTCTTCTATGCCAAATGAAGTTACAACAGATACTGATAAGTATGTTTATTACTATATGTTTTAAAAGTTTATGGAATATTTGTGAATGTTTGTTCTATATTTTAGGACAAGTCAAGCTGGAACACCAGTAGCTCCACAAAATTCTATGTTGGTTTCTCCAGATCAAAACGATGTTATTAGTTTTTCTTCAGAAATTTCTGAATCAACAAATACAAACTTAGAAGTTGGACAAGAAGCTGTATCTGTTACAATTCATCCTTTAAGTCCAACAACTGACAAGTCTCAAAGTTCTGTTGTGTATGGAAAAGGACAAACAATCAGTGATACACCAATAAATGTAAATGTTTGGGCAGATTCTCCTAGTTATATAACAACACAACATGGTGCTAGATTATCCACACAAGATCTTGAAAGGCTAAGAGCATTGATAACAGAATTTTGTTTAAAAAGTTTATTACCCTATGTGGAAAAACAAATTGGTTTATTGAATGATGTAATTTCAAATAAGAAAGGTGTTAGTAGATCACTTTTTAGTGCTACAAGACGATGGTTTGGAACAAATAAACCTGGAATACCAGGGCCTACTCCATCAAATGCTGTAATGTATGTTTATTGATACTTATATACCATCTTATTGTATAATAACAATTTGTTTAATAGTATTATATTTAAAGAATAATACATAGTATATATAAATATATAAAGTTCCAGCTTGTTTGGATTTCAGTTACACAACAGAATCTCCAGAATTACAATTGCGTCGCTTAGGTGACTTATGTTTCATGTTTGGTCACTATTCACTTGCTTACCAAACATATCATAGTGCAAAAAGAGATTTTGCAGCAGATCAAGCTTGGCTTTATTATGCAGGTGCTCTTGAAATGGCTGCTTTAAGTGCATTCATGCAAGGTGAAACTAATAGAAAAACTATTGAATATATGGACGATGCAATATTAACTTATTCAAGCAGTTGTAAAATGCCTCAGTTTGCAACAAGAGCCACATTACTCAGTGCAGAATGTTTAAAGGGTAGAAGTTTATATGGAGATGCTGCAAAACAATTAATTCGTATGACAAGTGAAGATTCAGATTTGCGTTCTGCACTCTTGTTAGAACAAGCTGCATATTGTTTTATTGGGCCAAAAATGATGCGCAAGTATGCATTTCACGCTGTTCTTGCTGGTCATAGATTTTCGAAAGCAGGCCAAAGAAAACATTCGTTACGTTGTTATCAACAAGCATACCAGGTATTTTTAGTTAATGTTGAACTAAATTTATAACTTTATATTAAATATGTAACTTTTTATTCATTTATATATCCATTATCAGGTATATAATGGAAGAGGTTGGTCATTAGCTGAAGACCATATACATTTTACGATTGGCAGACAAGCTGCATCATTGAAACAAGTTAGTGAAGCAGTTAAAGCATTTGAAAAATTACTAAATGCTCACAGTAAGCAACCAGCTACTCAGCAAGCTGCATTTTTACGTGAATTTTTACATATCCATAATGTATGCATATTTAGTATTGTTAATGTCATATAATTCTTTTATTTATATGTATTGATTCTTTTTACATTAATTGTATGCTGTAGTTATTGTTGCAGGAAGGTTTATCAAATCAACAAGAGCTTCCTATCTTGCCTTTACCATTAATAGATAGTAACAATATTAAAGTATTGTATGGTCCTCTAGCTAAACCATATGAAAATAATATTCCTGCAAGTCATGTTTCATTTGATACTGAAGAATGTGATGATGTAAGATGGACAAAAATGGAAGAGATGTTAATAACAGAAGTTCAGGGATCCTCCCCTATGATATTCAAACCTACAGTTGCATTGTATTCCAAGACAAGTAATAATAGTGTTAAACCAAATGCAGTTTTAAATGAACCAGTGCATTTTTTTATTGAATTATATAATCCATTACATATACCGCTACCATTGTCTAATGTGACTTTGTTATGGTCATTTACTTCCATTAATGAACAAGTCACAAATGAAATGAGATCATCAGAGAATTTAAAGCCAGTGGAAACGCAAGTAGTTGAAAAAATTATTTTACAACCAACTTCTAAACAAAATATTACATTATGCCTCATACCAAAAGAAATAGGAGAATTAAAAGTATTAGGTTTAAACTATGACTTGTCTAATCCAACGCATGTAATAGATCCACCAGTTGTTAATCCAACCATAGCTATTACTGGAAAAAGAATATTTGAAATTAGGGGACCTAAATTAAAAAATATTAAAGAAAAACCTGGTACAAATATGTATGGTGTAGACTATAGATTAGAAACGAATGTTATTGAGAAAGCTCCTTTTATGCAGGTATTTAATGTTTTAATATAATTGCATGTTAAGTATTTGTTTAATGTAATTAGCAAAAATTTATTTTTAGATTTTCTTTAGCAAACTGTCTTCAGAAATGTTATGTGGTGAAGTGCAAAAAATAAATATTATATTAAAAAATGTGGGTAATTCACCGCTGTCAAACATTTATTTAGCATCTACCGATGCTAAACTTTTTTCATTAGGAGATGAACACACGAATACACAAGATGGTAAATACAATTTATGTTTTATTCAATGATTGAAAATTAATTAGAAGATTCCATTACCTTCCAATAATGATACATTAAATATTGGTGAGACATATACAATACCATTTTGGATTCGAGCACCTCACGAAAAAGGAATTCATCGCTTAGATTTACTTTTCTATTATGAAAATATTGATTCAAAATGTACGATAAGATATCGACTTTGTAGACATACTTGGCATTTTACAGTTTTGGATTCCATACAAATTAATGCAATTGCTTCAAGAAGTGTCTTACTTAAAGATGTTTCACCTACATTAAACTTGATAGTATGCATAAAAAATGCAAATCAAGTTCATGATCCAATTATGAATGAAATTTTATTATCTAAAGTATTATTCAAAAGTAATACTTGGTCCGTATTTAGTTCATCTGTTTTGTCAACAGATATTAAAATACAACCTCAAGAAATGTTTCATCTAATGCTTAAGTTAAGAAACAAAAGTGAGAGCGAATCGAAATTTTCTGATGTATCCTTAACTCAGGAAAGCGAATGTATCGAATCTGATGTGCGTTATCCGTACATCAATTTTATACAAAGGAAGGATATTCCATCACTAGATATTAATGAAAATGTAGCTGAAATACAGCAGCAATCCCAAAGGTTACCACAAAATGTGGAATATACATCATTATCTGCTACTATGACATTAAATTCTACTTTAATTCTCAAATGGCGAGCAAAAATAATCGAAAACGGAGTTATTACTAGACGAGCAATTGGTCAACATCATCTTGATATTGAATACTTGAATAAAACTTACAAACATCCCAAAGAAATCCAAATTGAATCAAATGAATATGCAGGACGTTTGAAAATTTTTGGACCAGATAGAAACATACCAGATTCTTTGGCTGTGACTAATAAAGAACAAGCATTAGAAACAGAATTTTTAAAGAACATCATTTCTTTTTCTTTAAGTCATGCTAGACAGATTACGCATAATTTTGGTCAAAGACGATTGTGTTTCGTTCCAGTGATAATGTACATACAGAATCATTTAGAATCACAAATCGATATTAAAATCAACACAATAGGTACTAGCAGGTAAATATTACTTGGAGCAATATTTTTGTTTAATCGTTGTATTATATACACATTTATAAAGTTTTCCGCTTTCAAAAGCACCATTTCTATTCATTATTGTATTATAAATTATTCTATTTCTTTTCAGTGAAAGTCATCTTCCGAATATAAAATCGCAATTATATTCTCCACAAGCTTCTGCGTATTACAGATACGCTTGTCATTCAGCGATCTGTTCTCACATAGAACCACGTACAAACAGTACTGTAAAATTACAAGCCGTACTTCCAGCCCCTGGAACATACGATTTAGCAGCGCGTGTAGAAGTGTCTGTAAGGGTTGTAAATACTAGAGAATTCATCTTACAGAAGTGGAAAATGGAAAGCATATGTATTATTAATGGTAATAGTAAATAGTTAAAAAATATAGAGGTATACTTATTACGATTATTACTACTGTTAAATAGTGTAATAAATTTCGTTTATGTAATTTGAAATCATTCCTCAATACTATGTAAATATATAGTATACATTAGATTATTAGCTATCATATCTTTGTGAAAGTGTAATATGTATTATTTAATATGTGTCCTATTTTCTAATGTGTTAAATTATACATGTTTCTTTTAAGTATGTTAAATATTTGTTACAGCATGCATTATAATAGCTGTTCCAAATAGAATAATTGTATCTAAAAATATATTTGTAAATTACATTATTATAAATTAATACATTAAACACATCTCACATAAAAATATGCTCAGTTGTAATCTCTTGCGTAAATGTTAAAACTGTACTGGGACAATTATATCATATTTTTTGGATCAACACTTAATATCTTTTAAATCAAAATAAAGAAACAAAATGTATAGACTTATAGTTACAGAATGCTGTA